CAGGGGTGACAAGCAGACTTTCTACACGCAGCATGGCTCGCGTAACACCATGCATATTGACTTTGCTGTAGACAGAAGACCAATTTCAGTGTTCAAATTGTTACATTGAACCAGTTTCCGGTTTTCGGTTAATGTCTGTTTTTTAATTAATTCTCTCTCAGTTTTCAAATTAAATTTTGCTTTATAGACAATTGAACACTTAAAGTACTTAAAGGGACTGTAACCGTAATTTCAAGTGACTCTACATATGGTAGCGTGTCCTTTAAATAACGAACCTTGAAAGCATTATTTTCAGTTTAGTTTTCCATATTTTACGGATTGCAGCTTCAGAAACAACGGAGAGAATTGTCAAAATTAAACACATTTTAAGCTAGAAAAAGAAAACAAGGGGGTTGAGGGTATCGTTATGAATCGGACATTTAAATGGAATGTCACTTTAAATAACGTTAATAGTCCCTTTCAGGGATGAGAAAGGAGATTACCAGATAACTGGTCGGATGGATGATGTAATAAATGTGACCGGGCATAGACTTGGAACAGCTGAGGTTAGATCTTATCTTTAATTTAATAATTAGCCAATTTTAGTGATATGAGTCGGTGTTAAAGCAAGTTTACTCGCACATATTGTAAATTTTCAGATAGAAAAATTGTAAATATCTCTATCTTCATAAATTTTTGTGGAGTCAAAGTTTTTATAAACACCACGTAAGAAACGGGAAAATGTATCAAATCATGGATTTTTAAAAATCAACAATGCCTAAAATTTGGCCTAATGTCTTTTTACTTTCCTGCGGATCAATAGNGATATGTTCTAACTGAACATGATCTTGTTAATGTAAAGGTTGATGATATGTTCTAACTGAACATGATCTTGTTAATGTAAAGGTTGAAGATGTTCTAACTGAACATTATCTAGTTAATGTGAAGGTTGATGATATGTTCTAACTGAACTTGATCTTGTTAATGTGAAGGTTGAAGATATGTTCTAACTGAACATGATTTTGTTAATGTAAAGGTTGAAGATGTTCTAACAGAACATGATAATGTTGCTGAAGCTGCTGTTGTCGGGTATCCCCATGAAGTGAAGGGTGAGGGTGTATATGCCTACGTAATCCTGAAGCAAGGTGTAAACCTGGATGAAGAAAATATTCGGAATGAGTTAAAGCTTCTGGTAAAATCTAAGATTTCAGGTAAACAATCAGCTAATAATAATATAATCAAATTAACTTTTTATGAAATTTGATATTTTGTAGGGTTTGCTATACCGGAGTTTATCCTGTTTACTCCAGGTCTACCTAAGACCAGGTCGGGTAAGATTATGAGACGGATCCTGAGAAAGATTGCTGCAAACCAGATGGACGATCTAGGAGATATTTCTACACTTGCAGAACCAGAGATCGTAGAAACTATCATTCAGAAACATCAGAAGAAATAGAAGAAAATTGTTCAAAACTTACAGTGAGAACCGGAAAACTCTCGTTCTCTTTTTTTTTCTTTTAATTATAAAATTTTGCAAGGATTTAGTTATTTTCAGCTGAACTATTTATAAATTATCGTCCTGAGATCGAAACTTTTGTATGAAGTTTCGTTAATCTTGAACTCTTTTTCTCCATTACCAATGTTGAAGACTTTTAAATTTTAGGATCCATGCTTGGTCCCTCAATTAAAATCATCCCTGCAGGATATGACCATCAAAAAATATTGTAGAGAAAGCAAGATAGAGATCAATGCTTGATCCTGAGACAGCACTAAAGATAGAGATCAATGCTTGATCCTGAGACAGCACTAAAGATAGAGATCAATGCTTGATCCTGAGACAGCACTAAAGTTCTAACTAAAATTTATCAGTTGCAACAAATGTAAATTACTAATTCTTTAAGATATTTCTAAGTTATAAGAAGTTCCAAAGACGACATTCATTCCAGAGTTTCCTGGTTCTCACTGTATATTGTAGTATTAAACAAAGGCTGTAAATAGTAAAAGGAATGATACCTGTATCAATTTTAAAGGGACTGTAAGCGTAATTTCTAGTCACCCTTCCTTCATGCAAAGATGGCAATGTTTGATTTACAACGGTAACCTTTAAAGCTTTGTCTGATCAAGTATGAATTAGATATTCATGCTCATTTATAATTCGGAAAACTGATTCTTTTCAATTGTGGTTTCTTTACAAAAGTGACATACGCATTTTTACTGCAGGAATAAAGATAAAGGTACCGTTGTGAATCGGGCATTGTCATCTTTTGTTGGGTCACTTAAAATTACGCTTATAGTCTCTACAAGTAGATATTGTTATTTTTTGTAAAAGCAAAAATCAAAGTAATAAAATGTTCAAAAATGTTCCTCTTTGTTTCAATGCATGATAAAAGTCTTACTTTCTCCTGTGTTAATGTGCTGAGTATTACATCATTGACTGATTACATATCTTTAACTATATTTTAATCCTACACTAAACCTGTCATATTATTTAACAACATGTTGTGGAACCCCACTTGAAATGAATGAATTATTTCCAGGGGGGATGAATGATAGATTCCTACCTGTGTGTTCAGTTAGCTGTACTGTACACTTACAACTGTTTACTAATAATGATATACTATGATTGGGCCAGAATCTCCTTATAATAAACAAATATGGAGTACTCTCTCGGTATAGTTGATGGATTAGCGTACATCATCACTCTATACACTATAACCTCGTTGATTATTTCTGCTGAGGAAAGGACATATTTTAAACTTTCATGAGTTAGGAGATTCTTCTGAAGGGACTCAAGCGCTTAGAACTTTGTCTCATCTGGAATGAATGAGATATCCATCGTTATCATCTTTGAAATTTGATTATCTTCAATTGATCAGATACACAGTACAGTACACTTCAGTTCATTTCATGTACCGGGCCGAATTTCGACTACCCATGAGCAAGCTGTACAGGACAAATACATACTTTATAAGGCAAAACGAGACAGTACGCCTAATGAATGGTCCCTTTTATGGAAATTCAAGTGAAAAACCTTCCATGTTTAAAAATCCACAAACTCAGCCCATCTCTAGATTTATCTAGGCGGAAGTAAAAATAAACCTGACGCAATATATTTCTATATTTGATCAAGTTGACCGCGTCAGCTCAGATAAACTTCAGATATTCTTAGATTTGAGGTTTCAACGCTGAATTGAGGAGGTTACAGGGGGTTAGGAGGCGGACAGCCTTTGATCTCTTCTAGATCACATGATATCAGTCGCAGGGGAATATTAAAAGAACATCTAGAAAACAACTAGGTGTTACGCAAGATACATATACTAAAGGTAGGGGAGCAGTATTAATGTTCTGTATTTGGATTACCTAGAATCTGGTTTAAGGTAAGTAAACAATGGTCCGGTCTTTGTACAGTGAGAATAAGAAAACCATTGTATGTGATTTTGTTACAAAGATGGTGTATTTTTCGACCTACGCAAATCCGCTATACTCCACTTCTGACCTACGCCAAAGCCGCTATACTACACATCCGACCTAATAGCACGTGGTTTTACAGCTGCTACATGGACTTGTGGCCGCAGAGCCCGGCCCATAAGCATGTCCTAGCCGCGACGCCCGGCCCTGCAGCCTGTCCTAGCCGCAGCACTTGGCCCAAAAATTGTCTTAACCTAACCTAACCCTAAAATTATACAAAAATAAACAGTTGGCGTAGGTCCGACATTGCAGTAGGTCGGAAAGTTAGTAGGTCAGAAGTTCAGTAGGGGGGATGTTGCGTATAGACGATGTAACATTACCTTTAGTTTACATACATTGGAGTTACATATGTATATATTACTCATGCATAAATTTAAGTCAGATAAGTAGAAAAATAAGATTTATTAGGCTATTCAAAATTTATGTTAAATTTATGTTTTATTTAGTAGATTTGCACTTCTGTATAACACAGTCCAGGGCTTCCTTTAAATCCTCAAATATAGGGATCCCCTCTCTGTTGGCATAATCGGATAGATAAACCCGCCCTCGATTGTAATCTTTAATGGCAAGTTTACTCAGCTCCTCTCCCACAACCCTAGATCCAGCCTGGATATGCTGGACACAGAGAACCACATTGCATCCTAGACCTATAAGATATGCAGCTTGACACATTGCTGACATACACCTAGAGTCTCCTAGGATTGCAAATAGTAGAACCCGAGAGTTATCCATAGCACTGGCTTCTATTGGGATAAGTCTCCGTGTGCTGTATACAGCAGGGTTGTAAAATGTTAATCCAGATTTCTTGAGTAAAGGTATAGCAATCTGCTCTCTCCAGTTGGTGGTATCAGCACCACCCAGATACACGTCCCGTACCGCGCTCCCTCTCCGCCCCATGTTGCTGGCACTAAAGGTTCGGGTTCGCGGAGAGAAGGTTAGGTTTGAGAGCCAGGTTGCAGCTTTGGATACAGGGGATACAAGAACTGAGAAGAAATGCACTGTTTTACTAAAAATACTATCCCTACAACGGGACGGGTCTCGAACCTTGGTTTTATATTCTGAAACCAGGGAGCAGAACTCATCAAACTTGATAAATATCTGCTCTAGAGGAAGATCAGTGAGCGGAGCATTGACACCATGGCTTGAGCAGATTGCTTGAAGATCTAGCGGAGACAGATCTCTGTGTACGTGGATTCTAAATGCCATCTTGATCTCAGAAAGACTGAGTTTTCCACTCCGACTGGTGTCTAGGGTATCAAACGCTTCTCGCAACCGGATAAGTTTATCTCCTATCTGTATATGAGCTAGACGAACAGGTTGGGCCTGATCTTTGAGCCCTAGTTCCTCTATGGATAGGTTCTCTTTTAGCACCTTGCTGGTGCAGTTGAGCGCCACCTCTATATTGGTGAAAACGGGTATACTCTGCCTCTCTATAAGATCCTGGACGGTTTCTATCCCGTTCTGCAGATCCTCATACTCAGCCTGAAACAGGAGCAAAGTTTAGTTTACAGATTTCTCTCCGGGTTCGTTTAGAATTACAGATGTTTGCTAAATATATTTCAATGTCAGATAAGATATCAGGAGGGGGGGGGGGGGCCTTGAGTGAATTTAATCTTGGGGGAAATCTGAACCTATTAATACTTATTTCAACTCAGCTCATACAGAATTTATTCCGAGGTTTAACTTTTTATTTGCACTCGTTAGATCTTGTCAAAGTGTTAACCAGAGTAGTTTATATTTGTAAACTGGAAACCAAGAATTAATTCAACTTTAAATTAAGATTTCCGAAACAAAATTTCAGCAGATTAAAGGCAAATGAAATAATTGTTTAGAGCATTTTATTTTGTAAATTCAACAATTTATTTTCAGGCAATCCGTGTTATATGGAAATATGAGGTCTATTAGCATTCTTTGTTGAATTTTGGAAGACATATCAAAACTTTTAAGCGTTTAACCCTCCCCCCCCCACCCCTTCCACACCCGAAAGAAACAATGTTATACTGCTGCTTGGGTGATGTTGAATAAACTTGACCATACAAAACAGATAAGATCTTAAAATAATTTGAAAGGCTATCATTAAATTCCTTTCTTACCTAATCAGTCACAGAGTAAAAATAAAATGATGAGTATGTTCTTGTAAAATGTGTTTAAATGTGCTTAACCCTATTTAACATCATATTTTTCTACATTTATACGATTCTCTTTGTTTTATTTTCTTCTTTTTACTAATTTTTTTTGTTTGTTGAAGACAAAATTATTAAAAAAGATGAATCGCGAGAAAACAGAAAAGTAATTATGAAATTTCATAAATCATTTAAAATCTATTTTAAGTATTCATTTATTTGGATTTTATGTTAAATAGAATATGACGAAATGATGGTTTGGTTTGGTTGTGTAGGTTGAATGGTATGGTTTGGTTTGGTTGTGTAGGTTGTTTGGTTTGGTTGTGTAGGATGAAGATGAATGCGTGGGATAATGAACTAAACCTGTTAAAGAAGGGGTAGGAATATTTGAATTAAACTAAATAAAAATGAAAATTCTTCTTTAACGAGGAAAACTAAAGTTCAGTTAGAAATGAAAACTACATGTGAATGCCATGAATTGAATTCGACAATTATAACTTGTAATATCTGAAAGATTACTTTTTATTTAATTGAATTATCTAAGGTCTGGGTAAACTCTGTGAATTTGTATCGGTCCTACGCTCTTCGGTATGATTCGTTTTTAACCATTTTCTCCTTATAGACGCAACGAATAGAAGTAAAACTAGTAGCGATCGATATCGAATAGGGATCAGCCTATACCCCCCTTTTATTTTCGCGAACATTACCTTTAAGAAAAGGTAGGAAAACATAAATTTTAAAATGTTTGCCAACTAATTTTTATTTTTTTTTCAGTTTGAATTGAATAAAATTTAATTTAAAATTCTTCTTTAGTGAGAAAAAATAAAGTTCAGTTAGAAACGAAAAGCTTTTCAGCATGCCAAGAGCTAGTAACTTTTAAACGTGAAGAATGCCAAGAGCTAGTAACTTTTAAACGTGAAGAATGCCAAGAGCTAGTAACTTTTAAACGTGAAGATTGCCAAGAGCTAGTAACTTTTAAACGTGAAGAACGAGTTAAACTCATCTTGTCAACTTAAATTTGTTGATCTATAGTATAGAATGCATAGTTTGAAATATCTAAGATCTACGGACATTGGGTTGCAACGAAATTGGGAGTAGAAAATCAGAGTTTGTGGCAAAAACTCAATTCTTTTTTGTGCAACTAGGAAAACGCAATTCCCAATCTTACCGCTCTAAGATGCTAAAACTGACAAAACTATTAAATATTTTATCCTTTAATAAATAAACAATCACTTTAAGACGGAAGTAAAGGAATTGAGTTTTTGCCACAACCTCAGATTTTCTAATCCCAATATCTTTGTAAGTCAATGTTGTAAACCTTAGATATTTCAACCTATGAATGTTGTTAGATCCAATAATCTTAATTTGAAATATCAATGGTCTACATCATTTGGTTGCAAAGATATAGGGATTGGAAAGTTTGAGTTTGTGGCAAAGACTCAATTCCGTTGGTAAAGGTATGGTAGGACACCTCATAGCTTTAATTAACCTACGGCTCTAATCAAAGCTAATTATTTACTCATATATATTCAGGCAAAGGATGCGACTACAAAGACGACCGAAAACTCATCAAATATGACGATTTTTAAAATTAAGTCTTATGCCTTGAATACAGTATTTTAATGGCTTATGTAATGATTTGGAAATGAAAGAAACGAGTTTACAGTTGCAGGGAATGATTATAATAAATAAACAGACAGCATACATTCACTACGGTCGTCTCTGAAGTCTCATTCTTTGTGGGTAACCCTGTATATACATGTATGTGTAATGCGTAATATGTATTTACACAAAAGATGTGACGTTTTGAAAAATTAAATTTCTTACCAAATCCATGATCTAAAGTATGTATTTGGTCTCATACCATGATCTTATATAAGTTTTGCTAAGATAAAAAACGCTTTGAGTTGCCACATGTAAGAAACCAAAAATGTAGGAAAAAAGACTAAACAACTTCCTGAACTAAAGTTTGTCCCCATATTGACCGAGAAAAGTAGATTTTTCGATAATTCAATAATATTGGAATTAGAACCGTCGCGTTGTTATTGACCAATGTATGTTCAGTGTTTAATTGATTAAAAATGCGCTTTCGACCAACATTGGTCTCCAAAAACTTACTTCCAAAAGTTGATTAAAAGTTTATAAAAATTGATCAAAAGTTAAAAAATATGTTTTAAAAAGTGAATCGATAATAAAGCGATCAAGTGCATAAAATTATATGCAGGTGTTAAAGTAAATAGTTTTATAGGTTAATGTAAGAAATTATTAATTTTAGGTACGAAATCAGTAATGCTTATTTTTGATAACACTAACTACTTCATCTTGTTTATCTGATTAGACCAGCCAAGTATGCATTTTGTATATTTCAAAGAAAAATGTTTTCTGTGAATTTGAAAAAATCTTAAAGAGTTAAATACACGCCTAAACATACTACGATATTGCACAACTTTAATTGCATAATTGCAATTACTTTAAAAGAGGGGTTTGGATCCAATGTCCGATTTACAATGGTATCATTTTAACAATTAAGAATGAGGAAGATATTGTCGTTGCTCTAACTTGGAAATTGTTAAATTCTCACAATTTCATTTTTTGTCATTGCAGCATAAATCCGCATATTACTTTTACAGAAAACTCCAATTGAACAAAAATGAAGTTTTTGCTTTAAAAATAAGGATAACTACGCCAACAGTCCCTTTAACAGCCCTGAACGTTGTGCAAATGATCAAATAAACTTTCTATGAGTCTTTGACAAGACAAAGTATAAAGACCCCTTCATTTGTTTGTTCTGCACTGAGAACAAATAGTAAAGTGTCGAAAGGACTAACAATACAATGAGGAGCAGGAATTATACATATGTTAAATAAAGAACAAAAACCCGAGACCTTTAAACAATACAAAAAGAACTTTTAAGTTTTAATAGGAAAAAGCAAGTAAAAGAGAAAGAGAAAACGAAGCGCGTACAGAAGAGAAATTATTAAAAAAGAGTGAAAGTAAAAGAAAAGAAAGCGAAGAAAAGGGTCAAATGAAAACAAAGAGACGAAGAAAAAAAAGAAAAGAAAGAATAGGAGAAAGTATAAAAAAGATAAAGTATAGATGAAAAGAATGTAGATAAATATAGTAAGTAGAGAAGAAGAGAAAGAAGAAGAGGTGATAACATACAACTATAAAAAAAAAGAAGAGGAGAAAAAAGAAAACTAAGAGAAAAAAGAGGAGAAAAAAGAAAACGAAGAGAAAGAAGAGGAGAAAAAAGAAAAAAAGAGAAAGAAGAGAAAATCAATAAGAGGAGAAAGAAGAGAACGATGAGAGAGAAGAGGAAGAAAAGGAAAAATGAGAAAAATCAAAAGAAGAGAAAGTAGTTAAAAGGAGAAAGCAGATGAGAAGATAAAGGAAAGTACGGGAATAAACAAATTAAAGAAAATCACTAAAAGGCCGAGATGAGAGAACTGAAAGAGAAAATAAAATGCGCGAAAAAAATGATGAAATTTTTACATTTAAACTTGGGACAAAACTTGAGATTTTCTGTTGGTAAACCAAGAGATAGTAAACATGTCATCGGTTCAACTTTTTGCTCTTTAAACAATGTTTATTTTCTGAATGTTTACAGCCCTTAAAGGGACAGATTCAAGTAAGCTTTTATTCAAGCCGTACATTTCACACCTTTGTTTGAGCAAATAAAAGATGGAGATATACTTGTTTTCCTATTTAAAAATTTCTAGTTTCTAATTGTGCTTTATCTATAAAAACGACATGCGGATCTATGCAGCATAGACAAGGAAGACAATTTACAGAACTAATCTCTTTTCAAGATTAAAAAACGACAATATCTTCTCCCAAAGGTACCGTTGTGAATCGGTGATGTAACTCTTTAAACGAAGGGTCACTTAAAAGTTTGTGCATAGTCCTTTTAACTTGGGTTAATAGAATTTAAACCACTGTTCAACAGTAAAGAAGTTTAAGTACCAAGCCTTTATCTAATGAATGGCAGGTTCTCGTAAAATTACAAAATAATGAAACCAACAAATTATGCAAATTATTAGACTCTAAATGAATAATATTTTGGTTAATGAAACATTTAAAATAATCTTTTTGAATTTTTGCATAATTAAGTTTATTAGGCTAGTTAGTATAGTTAGTGACGATAATTAGGGCGTTAGGACATTTTAGAGAATTGAATTTTATAAATTGGAAAATGCATCTAAGTAAACTTTCAGAAATAAGATATTTTATGGTTGGACATTCAATATTTATGGGAAATTCCATAGAAATAACCGTTTAAAGATAAAAATGACATTTAATAGACGGTAAGAAATTATTCGCTGTCTTTTTAGGAACTGTCAATTGCCGTAGAAAAAAGGAATATTGAGTCTTTGCCACAAACTTAAATATTCTAATACCTATATCTTTGCAACCTGACGGTGTAAACCTATATTTAAAACTTAGAATATTTAATTTACTGAAATTCAAAGTTTGAAATATTCAGGGTCTACGACATTGGAAGGCATAGACATAGAGATTAGAAGATCAGAGTTTGTGGCAAAGACTCAATTCCTTTATATAAAAATCTCTAAAATCATTACTTTTTAAATGTCCATAATAACCATATCAAATCATTATTATTAAAATGTTAAACTTTAAAATGTCTAATTCTTTAGAATTGTTACTTATAAAATGTCTATGACTATGAAATTATCGTTAATTATGAAATGTCTATGACTATGAAATTATTATTTATGATATGTCTGGAAATTATGAACTAAAAAATGTATCTCTGAAATATTGTTTGTGAAATGTTTATATTAAGGAAAGATTATTTATAAATGTCGCGACAATGAATGTCAATTACGATGAAATTATTTTTTTTTTGGTCGCAACACTATGATTTAATTAGACCTTGCGTCAATTATCATAAAAATTCCAATGATGATTGTGTAATGTGTACTTAATTACATTTCCCGATTTTCGTCATCGAATTCTTATAAATAGCGATTATTTCATTCAGATATTCCTAAAACGATGAGAGATAAGTTTAAAAAAATGTTTAAATCTATCGTAAAACGGAATTTTTGACACTTAACTGAACATTAAAAGGGAATTCTAAGTACCGGGCTAAATTTTAAGTAGCTATGAGCAAGCTCACTCCTGTATGCGGAGTCCATTAGCTCCTGATCCAATCAGGGTTCACTCATGTGTTTGTTGTCTATTCTGAACCAAAAGAAATAGTATGTTGGTAACATCTATCTTCCTATCTATCTCATTATCCAATCAGAGTTATGAATCCTTCAATCAGCGCTATCAGTAAATGGAAATATTTACTTCTACTGGAACTATGGTGTGTACTGCACAAATACAGATATCAGGAGAATCGGGACGGTACGTCAAATGAATGATCCCCTTAAAGTGAAATTTATGTGTTGGGTTTCTCACATAATCTTTAGTAAGTCTTCGAAACAAAAAGAAAAATAATATCAATCATCTTTTAATTTTGATTTTTTCTCTACCTCATCCCAAAATTCCAGAACTTTCCCTTTAGATAATATTTTTACCTTAGTTATTTGTTCCCCGGATATAGTATGACCGGGGCCCGGATAAGAGTCTAGAACAACAACTAATCTCCTGTTACTACCAGCAAACTGGGATACTTCAACCATACTTGCCACGTTCCTCGTTTCAGAATTCAGAACCCAGAAGAGAATCTGGCTTGAGTACTTAGCCTAGAGTAGAGAACAGAATATATATATAGAACAGAATACAAGTATAAAACAGAATACAAGTATAGAACAGAAGTATAGAACAGAATACAAGTATAGAACAGAATACAAGTATAGAACAGAATACAAGTATAGAACAGAATACAAGTATAGAACAGAATACAAGTATAGAACAGAATACAAGTATAGAACAGAACACAAGTAATACAAGTAGAGAACAGAATACAAGTATAGAACAGAATACAAGTATAGAACAGAATACAAGTATAGAACAGAATATAGATATAGAACAGAATACAAGTATAGAACAGAAAACAAGTATAGAACAGAATATAGGTATAGAGCAGAATCTAGGTATACAAAGTAGCTGTAGAACTAAAGAACAGAAGAAACCCCTCCTCAGTTTTGCGCCTAGAGTTTTATGAAGTAAAAGGGGTTTAAATGTTGAAGAGGAAGAAATATATTTTAAAGAAAAAGAACGATTGAAAATATGATTAAGAATAAAAGAAATTGAGTCTTTGTCAAAAACTGATCTTTGCAGCCTGATAATGTAAACCTTTTATATTTAAAACTTAGTTTATTGAATCTTACAGAAATCATAGTTTGAAATATCGAAGGTCTTCGAAATCGGGATTAGAAAATCAGAGACTAAATACTTTTGAAGATTAGTTTGTCTAACCTGATGTTCTAGTTCTATCATCTCCGGGACCCAGTTTGCCTGCTGGGGGTTGTAGAAGGTGATCCCCTGTCCCTTCAGATGAGGGATTGCAACATCCTTCCTCCAGGTGGTTGGATTACAGCTACCTCCCAGGAACACATCGTAGGCTGATGTGGTAGATCTCTGGGTTCTGAGTTCTCCTTTCCTTCTCTTCTCCGGGACCTTGGAAACCTGGACAGGATGGGAGTCAACTGTACTTGGATCCCGATCATGATTTGTATAATATTTTCTCAATTCTGTGGCGAAAACACAGAACTCTCCAAAGGTTATAAAATTATCCGTGTTTCTCTGACTGCACTCCCGAGCACAGTGGAGCATCTCAAAGACCTGTGATTTGCTCGGGAAGAGATTGATATCGTTGAACATGGATTGTATCTTGTGATGGGGGATAGTGGGTTCAGCCCCCACCTTAGTGTACCAAGCTTCATATAGATCCCTTGTCGTCTCACCGTATAGAATCACTCCCTGAGACATTGTGATGTCTAGCTTATTCACTTGCAATCTTCATTCCAGATCGATTCCTGCTTTCTCCAGGTTGTAATATCTACTGTACTAAATCCACGAAACTGCGTATACACACATTCAAACACAACGCTCCTACTCCGACTGATTAGTAAACCTTAATATAGGAATTAGTTGATAGACAATAGTTCTAGAATAATAACATAATCCTCATGGAGTTGAACTCTGACCCTAATTATAGTTTCTTATCTCTGTAAATAAGCAGGTTATGTATAGTTAGAAGTATAGAAATGATATCAGCATGTTACAGTAACTACTGCTAGATATATTCCTCTGTATACGTACAGTGTATACTTTACACAAACATACTCCGCAACCCGGCTCACAGCAAACTAAACACTATTTTATCCCAATGCTTGAAAGCATGCAGTGTGCACCCTTACTGATTTTCTAAGCGGCGAGTAGTCGACGGCTCCACTTTATAAAATGGTGTGTGGAGGGACCGGCTACAGGAGGGATGACATCAGCGGCGAGTGGAGATTCTATACACGGGTTTATATACATAAATACAAGGTAAATTAATTCCAAAACTAACACTTGGCCCATTTTTAACATCGAGTATTAGAAATGGGCCAAATCTGCAAAGTTATCTTTTTCAAGCGTTTATATCTTTAAATCCAAGCCGATCGATGTTAAACAAAACATACACCGTCCATATATTTTTAAGAAATGACTAAAACTGTTTATTGAAACAAGAAATGTAAACTTTAAACTAATGTTAAGGTGTGAAAATTAGTTTTTGATGATTCTTGTTTTCATTTTCGAACATATCCCTATTATATTTTAAAACAATTTCCGCATTTCAGCACATGTTACGTTTTTGAAACATATCCTGGTTTTGAGACAATTATTCGAATTCGTATCAATACAAATTTTCAAGTATTTACGCACTTACAAACAAAATAGAAAATAAAACATTTTGTAATTAAAAAAATCATTACGGCATTGAGAAATCAAAATATTAATATTATTTTGTTCTTGTAATGTAGATTTAACTAGAAATTAATTAACAAAGAAAATGTGAAAACTTAGATTCTAAATGTAATGAAAATAGTAATAACCCTAATTAATATGTCATGTATATATAACTATGTTCTTTAATCTCTGAACAGACCTATCAGTCAATTACATATTTACCTGTATCATAAAACCCAAAATTTAGTTTGGAAGATTGTGCACTGGAACCCAGAAACATGTTGGGGCGAGTGTTCAACATGGATGGCTTCATCGAGGGAGAAGAGTCACAGGGAGCAGCTTTGCTAAACGATCTGAACCCCTTTGAATTTGTCTTCAAGGAACTGTAGAAGCAATTTGGATGGAGAGTTTGCTGCAAAATGTGCCAAATGATGAAGAAGTTTCATGATTAAAAAAGGGATAGTTAGCCCAATTGTTAAGCACTCCATCCTCCACCCATTTGTAATAAATATAGAAATAACCCTAATTAATATGTCTTGTATATATAACTATAGTTCGTTAATCTCTGATCAGTCTCATTGTATCATTAAACCCAAAATTTATTTAGTTCGATACGAACAGAAGTATTAGTTCTTGGTAGGGAGTATAGAGTTTGAGAAAACGCGACAATGATTCAAATTCAGGATATGTTCGAAAATTGAAAACCTGACATTTTCTAGAAAACGGTCAAGGGTTTTATAAAAAGAACGCCTTTTTATAATTTTGATTTAAGAAAATAGTTTAAAATTCGGAATTGTTGTCATTGTGATGCTTAATAAAATGTTTGTTATAGTTTTTATTATCGACTTTTACTCTCAATATGGGCCGGGATACTAAAATTCAATTTGCGCCCATTTCTAACACTTAGTGTTAGAAATGGGCAAAGTGGTAGTTTTGGAACTAATGTCCCCTGAAATATACATATCATAAATATATACAAATGTATCATTTAGCATAACCATGGAGATAAACACAGGCTTATAAAAAGATATGTATTTATACAAATAAAATTTAACCCGGAACCCATTAGTTTCCTAACACACGTACATATATATATAGTTCTAGAAACTTGAAACAAGAAAACAATATATTTGTCCTTGATGTCGACAATTGTGTTTTAAAATCTTGTAATTCATGCAATTTATGCACTAGGAGATTGTATTACTTGCATTTACACAACACATGATATTCAAGATATTTAATTATTAAGATATCTTTCATCTGTACAACTTACAATTTTCAGGCTGAATAATATTACCTATATTACCTAAAGACTGCAGGACATATATATAACTATAAAGCAATATATAATGTACACGTACAGTGTACAGTGTACAATGTAAACGTTTGAAGGTAAAGCCTGTCTAATATATACTTGTTTTGCAGTACAGAATAAACGTACACTATTTTTTAACATTTATTATAAAAACAAATCAAACATTTAAATTGAAATTTCATTCATAATATTTAATATTTTTATTCAACTACAAAGTATGAGTTATTACAAATCATAGAGTAATAAAACGAAGAGGTGAAGCTTAGCTCAGATGTACACAACCGACCTGTCTATTAATTAATTAATAAATTGGTCGGTTGTGTACATCACGATATGTTTAAACGTATCTAACGCTGTACCTCAAAGGATCATACAAACTTCAAAGACGACTTTTTTCTTACATTCATGGTTCACTGCAACGTGTTTCTTTCTATTTACAACCTTTTGCAATGCCATTTAAAGACTATAGTTATATATTTTAAACAGGAACACATATTAAACTTTCAAATTGTTGTAATACTGTTGTATTATTAAAGTTTCATGCTTTGTGGGTAACCCTTTATATATATATTTGTAGTAGACAAAAATATCGTCAAAGAACGGAACTAAAATTTATAAAAAATTCACAAAAAAAAGTTTCTGAAATAGAAATAAATCGGGGAAAAAGTCCCAATTTCCTAAAGTCCCAAGACACATTTCACTAGAAATGAATTCCTGTATTTTGGACTCCAGGGACTTTTTGTTCTAGAACTATGTAGGGACTGTTGCGCAAAAGGCCTAGTTGGGAAAATATCTAGATAAAAGCTGCAGTAATTTAAGTCTTCATGAAAAAAGTCTAAGAATTGCTGTGCGCACTGCGTATTAATGCGTAATCCTCTGTACAATATTAAAACACACCCAACATCACATATATAAAGTAGTTTGTTCGGACGTTGATCACAGCTCATAAAACCCTTGCACCAATTTGCCTCAAATACAGGGTTAAATAACTCGGTGTAACCACGAGAACGTACTTAGCTTGGTTTAAAAGTTCTAAATTGAGTAGGTTGTCTTATATAAGGAAACCTCCAGACAAATCTGGGTTCCCAAGCTAAGTATTTTATTATTTTACAATGGTACTTTTTTCTGTGCTGAGGCATTCATTTTGACCAAATACAGGGAATTTATGTTTTAGTATGACATCAAACTGGAATATGAAAACACTTTTTTTCAAAATATTTTCTTGGTGGTTGCACCTGTCCCTTTAGTTTCTGTTATATATATAGTTCTGTAGTATTCAGATGGGATGAGAATCATTGAATGACGAGCTAGGATGAGAGCGCAATAAATCTCCAAGAATGATTAGATCTCTGATCTAAATCAAGAACTAGGATGAGATCATACCGAGCTAAATGACAAATGGTTAAATATTTGTAAGTTGGACAGTAGCTTGGTTACTGTAGATAACAACAAGAAGAGGAGGTCATCTTAGTTTCAGCCTGACCAACCCAACCACTAAACCTACAGAACTGCAAGTGGAACTTTTTTCAAAACATAGATTTTCTCATTCCTATATCTTTGCAACCTTATGTCGTGTTTTAAGTTTTAATCACTTGACCTAAAAATGTAAAGAGTTCTTGAAAATGGCTTTGGATTTGTTTTTTTACTCTGACAGTACTTTATGTTTTTATAATCGCATTTATCTAGTGAAATAACAGAATCTTTTGTAAAGGTAATAAAGATGAGAAACAATTTATTTAGTGTAATTAGACCAATTTTAAAATTCCGAAACTGCACCGTATCTGTTTAAAAAGGATATCATATTGCAAATTAAATTTAGATTAGTACAAAGTTCATGATAAAAAATCTATGGCACAAAGGAAATTTAAAAAGCTATGCGAGATCTTTTAAAACATTTTACAATCTTTAAATAAAAAAAGCCATTTTCCAAAAGAATTTTATTAAGAAAGAAAAATACATTTTTTTAACAATCTTGGTTAATGCTTCTTTTGCTTTGACTTAGCTTGTGTCTTCTGGACGTTGACCTGCTGAGCCTGAGCCTGTTGAGCCTGTTGAGCCTGTTGA